GTGTGGATATAGTGAGCAGAGGGGCGCCCGAGAGTATGCTAGGGGTGCTGGTAAGAGCAGACATGTTCTCGAGGGAGATTCATTCCCATTGTGTGGATATAGTGAGCAGAGGGGCGCAGTCCATGCTTGCTATGTCCTTGTATTCAAACATCACGGTGAGCCGCCATGGCATTTCCTTGTGCCTGCCCCCCTGTCCCGACCGTTTTCCCAAGACTGGCAGCTTGGCCACGTGGGAGTGTCACGCAAGACCAGACTGACAGTTTAATAAGAGTCTGCGCGACAAACCGGTGCTTCTCAAAAAAAAAAAAAAAAGGAAAAAGAAACTGCTTCCCCACAAAGAAATGCAAACAGAAAAACCGCTACCTGACAAAGTTAAGAACAATAAAAAAACGGACCATCCGGAGTATGGGCCTACTTTTAAGACTCCCCACATGCACGGAAAAGACAAATATATGGTGGTGTATCTTTCTTTTTTTTTTGTTTTCTTTTCTTAAAAGCTATATTCTTCTCTCAATTTCACCTCACACTACGTACCTACCACTACTCCTAATTGTAGGCATACGGGGAACCCCGTTGCAGCGAGAACCGTGTTCACGAGAGAACATGCGGGGGCTGCTCCCGACCTGCAGGTTGGCGATACCGGCTAGGGGACAGCCGGTAGCATCAGGGACCACGCCAACGGGACCAATCCCTGTCCCTCCCCTCAGGTCCCCTCCCTTACGAACATCAGCAGACTCTGCTCAATGCCGATCGGGGGATCCAGTGGTCTATCTCTAGGTGGCGGGCCAAGCATGCCCAGGAAGGTACATAAGGCCAATGGGGATTGAACCCACGACCTCCTGAATGCCACTTGAGAGCCTTACCAACTGAGTTAGGCCGCTGGATTGGTGTACCTTTCCATGCTCTAGCGCGAGATTCATTCTCATTTTGCAGATATAGTGAGCATTGGGGCGCAGTAGATTCTCGCTATGTACTTGAATCCTCACATCATGGCATGCCATCGTGGCGTTTCCTTGGGCCCGCCCCCCTGTCCCGACCGTTTTCCCAAGACTGGCAGCCGGGCCTCGCAGGAGCATCACCGAGACCCGGCTTACACTTTAATAAGAGTCTAGAGTCTAGATAGGTAAGATAAATAGATAAGTCAGAGTGGCCTTCGCGCTAGTCTGACCAATGAGGTTTCCGAAAGTGTGCCTAGCTGTGGGGTCCGGCCCTCGAGCCCTGCAACAAAGGCGGAAACTGTGTCAGATGTCATCACTATCATTCTTTTCTCCATCTTTGCTTTGCAGACAGCATCCTATAGAGGATCAAATTCATGTACACATCATGGACAATCCAGTGGAGGGAAAGGATGCTCACATTTTTACTCTGATTTTCCAGGTGTGAAATACCGTCCAACGTTTCTGTAACTTTTGTAAGGCCTTTGAGGTCCTACAGTTCACCAGACACCGAGCAACTGTGCCTATCACACTTCTTTCAGTTGCAGAATGAGAAAATTTGAATCTCTCTTTCCAACAGCCCAACATTCATGCACAACACGAGGGAATGAAGAAAAGGAAAAACGCGAACACACCTGACCCGAATTCCCCAGCACAGCTGAACTGCATGTTCCGTCTATCTCTCACCCTTCCTCCCTTCTCCACAGCCTCTCCCTCCTCCCCTCTCACCCTTCCTCCTTTCTCCACAGCCTCTCCCTCCTCCCCTCTCGCTCTACCACCAACCTTCCACCGTCCTCCACAGACCTTTCCCATCCAGCCAACTCCTCCCC